GGATGTCCGATAATATCGGTCGGACATCCCTAATTTATATGTATACATGCACATGTATTTTAAGTCACAACCAGACCAAGTTGGTCAGACCACTGATGAAACACAGCACGTTGTTTTTATTACGGTTCTCCACCAAAAATCTGGGAGCCGTTGCAGAGTCGCGTACATTACCTCACACATCAAGCAAAAACTAATTTTATTATTTTAGCTTGCTACAATACTACAGTTGGTTTTTTTATTACAGAACCTAATTATTCTTTTTTTTCTGTGTGTCGTTTTCTAGGCCCAGCAATCAAGTAACTGTTGAAGACCCGGCAGTATTGTACAGCACAGTCAAAAAACGTTGCTCTTAAAAGTCGAAACCTGACTCAGCAGATACAGTATTATTGTAGACATTCATCTTTCCCATTACACAGGCCACTTGCGTTGTAAAATTCCTGTCATTAAATCATAATTTCGCAGCGCAGCGGACCCTTTTAACATTAGTCAAATGAAAATACCACAAAGCCGAGCTACTAGGTGGCAGCACTGATAGACAAGCACTGCAAACCTTTTACTGAGGGCGGAGGCATTAAAACCTCCGTGATGAAAGTGGTAGAGACAATTTGACCTGGGATGAACCAAGCATTTGCCAGTGTTTGCTTGGCTCTTAACTAAGGCTGCCCCTCCTTATACACAAAACACACTTAGTTTGGTGGAGTGAGGTGACCACCGCACTCTCTTCCTCATACACACTGGCTCTCACCACACCTCCTCACTCCCCCTCCTATACTAACAACTTTTAATTCCTTCATAACACAATAACGGAACATAATGAACAATGAACAAGTCTCCAGTCACCAGATGGCAGCATTGCATACCAACCCCTGTAGGAGTTACTGTCACCAGCATTCTGCATACAATCCCCTGATTATTGAAATAGATTAATAGCATTTTCATTTTCGGAGGAAAATCCCATAATTATTCCTACAAATGTTTCATAATTATGCTAATATCGGGATGTCCGATAATATCAATGTGCATAGGGCCCCGATGTTTGCGGAGGGGTCCCATTTTGAGCCGTATATGAAAAATCGCGTAACTGACGCCCCAGGGCTGGCAAACTGAGCAGCTCGTGGTCCAATACCGAGTGATACACGTTACCATCGCCATCTACTGGGGAATCTAATTCATAACAGCCATAGCTGTTAACAAGGGCAGTTGTTAGAATATAAATATGTAAAGCGGATACATTTCTTGACAAGAAATATACATTTTGAAATATAACTATGATCAATCAGCATGTTTCCCTATAACTGTATTAAATATTATTATTAATAATAATAACTACAGTGATGGTGATAATACAGACAATAAAGGCAATGTAACAAAACAATACTTGTAATTGCAGTGTTTTGGAATTTTTAATACTAGTATAGTGCCTTCCCAAAACACGAGGTTAAACGCCAGAGAAGAAACCACGAAGACGTTTGCAGACTGTATTTCCCGTTAGACACACAACATAAACACAAAATAAAGTGTACTTATCCTACTACACAAAGTAATGATGAAATATATTACGAAACCAATAAATTAAACAACATGTACACTTAGGGCATTGCATTATAACATTTCAGGGTAACTGGCAACTGGTGGAAACAAAGTGATTAGAATCTCCATGTCATCGCTATTCGCACATCTATTACTAACTCAAGCAGGCGGAAACGGATGTACCACCGTAAACCGGAAGTGTCGCGAAAAACAGAACGCTGTTTTGTTTAAAAACGATAAATAGAAAAGAAACTATGTATCATTTTTCTTCTGCCAAATAGTTATTCATTATGGAAACAATGCTGTTCCAAGGACATTGTTTCTTAGTGAAACTCACTTTGGTGAGACTGGTTTGGTTCTTACAGGCCACAGGAATACGTTTTCACACATTTCTAAACAAATAAAAACAAGTTGAGCTTGCACAAACCACAACTCACTTCTTTATTTTACTCTCTCTTTCTATCAGCTTCAACTTGTATGTAAATGTTGTCCTGTAAAGAGGAAGAAAGGTGGGTGTATTAACAGAATGAATTTTAACTTCTGCTCACTGTTCTTTCCATGAGTGACAGAGTGACAACCTCACGTACCTAGTTTACTTTTTATTTTAATACAGTCTTTTTTTTAGTTTATTGTAAAGTAGAGATGAGATC